TCAACGTTAGGATATTTTGTGCATAACTTTACATTTACCTGCGTTGAACGTCATTTGTCACATTGTTGCCTATTCATCCAGTATGAAGAGACCCTCTTGAGTAATTTGGTACCATCTGCAAACTTGGGCCACTATACTGTGCACCCACAGTGACATTCCAGATCATGAAAATATTTTAAGTCGGAGGTATGTCAGTTTATCATATTTTGCATTTCCGTGATTTAGAATGTTAAATCCGTAGGCCATTCTCAGGCTTTGCAGTGTCTCCTGCTGGTGGAGGAAAAACTGAGCAGTGGGGAAAAAACAAGGAATGGAGGGCAAGCGGTATTGGCCCAATGTCATTACCTCACTTCTGGCATGACCCGGAAGTGATGTCATTGTATCAGGCAATGCTTTGGCATTTGCCCCAAACTCTGTGGTTAAACTGTAGAGTTTTAGGTGGATTCTAGTATGCCGCTGGCAATGTGATGTCACAGCATCTCCAGCAATGTTATGACGTCACCAGGAGCCCCCCACCCACCCCCTGCAGTGAATCTCCCACTGGTAGCCGGCCTCAGGCTGGCAATCCTATGCATTCTCCACACTCCTGCTCTAGTAGAGTTGCTGATGATCCGAAGAAAAAAGTCCTTTCAGAGGCTTAATTAAATATTATTTACCAGGTAAATTTATCTCTGTGCCTTGAAAGGCTTCAGCTGGTCATTTCCACACATTAAGGCTGTGTAAAGGGGTCAAGACTCCCCCCCCCCATTACTGGCAACCTTTTGTGCTAGTGTCTGTATGGGAGGGTGTGTAATGCTCTCTTGTTACACACATCAGGCCTAGGCTATTCTACTATCTTGTGATTCAGAAGTCTTCAACCTTTCCCAACTTGACTTACTTTTAACCATCAGGAGGCAGCAAGAGACCCATTGAGATGCAAGCATGTGACAGGAATTCACCTGGCGTCAGAATCATGTGACAGGAAGAGCCCAGTCAGCCCTAAAGAGGAACCCTTTCCACTACGGAGTGACTTCACATTGCATGCAAGTCGACAGAAGTGGGAAAGTGAGGCAAACGCTTGGTTCACCTTCTGTCTTCAGTGCAGGCCAGCCACAGATAGAATTTTCACCAGCGAAAAAGTCTCTAAGGGGTTCACCCCACCTCCTCCAGAGCCAACGTGAGCAGCTTTTTCCCACCTAAACCATCACATGCTCCGGAGTTGGAGCACCCCCTCCCCCTCAGTCCCTTTTCCACCACCGCATTGATAGGAGCTTCACAGCTTAGCTGCTTGTTCAGTCATTTTCCTTTGAAGATTTTTGTGGGGTTTTTTGCAGAGTTTGAGGGGTTTTCCTCCTCTTGTTCTTTTGTCTCCAAACCTTTTGTTCAAAGAGAGAATGTCTAACTGGGTGAGGTGATTCTTGTTGGCCTACCCCTTGGTCGCTCTTCGTTTGTCGTCTGTGGTCCTGTAATGGCATCCAAGGTGCTCTTCAAAAAGTGCATGGAATTCCCTGACCTGGGTAGCCCAGGCAAGCCCAATCTGGTCAGATCTCAGAAGCTAAGCAGGGCCGACCCTGGCAAGTACTTGGAAGGGCGACCTCCAAGGAATACCAGGGCCAGGAAGCAGAGGCAGGCAATAGCAAGTCACCTCTCTGAAACATCCAAGTTTCACTAGGGGTCGCCATGGCCCCCATAGGGTATAATGGAGTCGAAAAAAATCAGGTTTCCCAAATATTTCCTGAATCCCAATACCATACCGGTATTGAGATTCAGGAATATCTGGAAATACAGACATTTTTCATGTTCAATATGTTGTTGTTGTTGTTCAGTCGCACAGTTGAGTCCGACTCTTTGCGACCCCATGGACCAGATCATGCCAGGCCTTCCAGTCTTCCGCCATCCTCTGAAGTTTGCTCAATTTCATGTTCGTTGCATCTATGACACTGTCTAACCATCTCATCCTTTGCCGTCCCCGGCTTTTGTTCAATATACCCAAACCCAAAAAATACCAGGGTGTTTGGGGTTTTTTTTTTGCACACCCCTACCATTAATGCCACACTGGCAGTGTTCATGTTCAACGAGTCCAAATCCTGCCATGCATAACCTAGCAGCATCATTCTCCCCACATATATATCTACCCGTCTTTTGTTCAATATACCCAAACCCAAAAAATACCAGGGTGTTTGGTTTTTTTTTTGCACACCCCTACCATTAATGCCACACTGAGAAACCAGTGTTTATGTTCAACGAGTCCAAAACCTGCCATGCATAACCTAGCAGCATCACTCTCCCCACATATATATGTATGCCAAAAATATTCTGGTGGGCCCTCTAGAAACAAACAGATTTATTGAACTTTAAGATTCTGTGGGCTAGGATCCACTGCTCAGAGGCATGGAATAAATCTGTAGTCAGCAAAGTATGTAGAGAGACAGTGGAAAGAAAGAAGACTGAAGTGCATAGTGACATTACCAAAAGTATACCAGATGAGATCACCTACACTGTCTGTAACTGGTGATTAAAACTGTTGTTTTAATCCACAAGTCCCCTCTCCTACCCCCAGTTTTAAGCTAACATTGCAATCCTCCTCAGAGATGATTTCAGTGGGCCTAGACTGGAGAGATTCTGCATAAGAATACATTGGTAGTTATGTTAATTGGCTAATTAAGATGTCTCTGGTGATTAAAACTGTTGTTTTAATCCACAAGTCCCCTCTCCTACCCCCAGTTTTAAGCTAACATTGCAATCCTCCTCTGAGCTGATTTCAGTGGGCCTAGACTGGCAAGATTCTGCATAAGAATACATTGGTAGTCATGTTAATTGGCTAATTAAGATGTCAGCTTGGTTGAACCCACTGTTGATTCAGTCAAACCTGTGAATACTAATTCAGCAATTGAATGAGAAATGCTTATTGATTCTTGACTGTAGTAATGCTTGAATGAGGATGTGCACTGGTATAGTAGAGCTGGATCTTGTTGGAGCTCAGCATGGTTGCTGCTTGGACAGGAGACCATCAAGGAAGAGAAGGTAACAGCAAACCATGTCTGCCTTGAAAACCCTATGGGGGCGCTATTAAGTCAGCTGTGACTTGACGGCATTTCACGCACAGTGCTTGAATTATTCCTTTGTGCAGGGCTCTTTTTGTAGAAAAAGTCCAGCAGGAACTCATTAGCATAATAGGCCACACCCAACAGCAGAAATCCATTAGCATATTAGGCCACACCCGACAGCACAGCTCATTAGCACATTAGGCCGCACCCCCATGTTACCAGAAGTGTGGTCATCCAGCCACACCCACCTTTTCCTTTTTATTCTGTTTACCTTGTTTGTTGTCAAACCAGGGCTTTTTTTGTAGCAGGAACTCCTTTGCATGTTAGGCCACACACCCCTAATGTAGCCAATCCTAATGAGTTTCTGCTGTTGGGTGTGGCCTATTATGCTAATGAGTTCCTGGTGGGCGTGGCCAACTCGGGAGCCAGCCGGAACTCCGTTCCTGTGCGTTCCTGCCCAAAAATAGCCCTGCCTTTGTGACTCCTGAGTATGTGTGGCCACACTACACCCTCTCTTCCCTGTCACTCGTCAACTCACCCTTTCCCTTCAGATCCCAACCCTACCTTTTAGGTCTTTCAAAGTAGTTGAAATAGTTTCATCATGTGAGATTCTGCTTTACTATCCAGATGTTTTGCCCTCAGAAGCCTGTTGTAGTTGCCCTCCCTTTGGTTACGGTCCATGCACAGTGTGCAGCTGTGATGGATGGCAGCCGCCTCTTAATCCTCTGCCATGACTTTGTGACATCATCGCTGAAGCCAGATCAAAGCAGCATGATGATGGCATTGTGACATAAGAGCTCTCTTGCCCAATCACTGTCATTTTCATCCCCCAAACTCCTTTAATGCCCTTGTGGTAGAACACAGGCTTTCCATGTCCAGTCCCTGGTACCTCTGCTGAATGGATCTCAGGAAAAGGTGCTGGCAAAGATCCTTCTCTGCCTGAGACCTTGCGTGACTTCCACACAGCGATGATAATCTGTGGTTTTCTTGTCGATAAAAAGCAATGGAGGTCCTCCATCTTTGACATATGTTTTTCTTCATTTCTCCTGCCCTGCCCCCTGCAGTGGCCACCCCCCCACACACCCCAAGGAATGTTGGAATTTTTAAACAAAACCAGCAATTGATATATCATAATAGTGTTATAATGATCCAGCCTTCATTTTAAAATATGGAAATTCCTAGAAGCTTTAAAATATGGAAATTCCTAGAAGCTTTCTTTACAGAGCTGTTCTATCAAGAGCAGTCCTTGAAAGAGCTGTCTCAACCCCATCTACCTCACGGGGTGTCTGTTGTGGGGAGAGGAAGGGAAGGAGATACCGCTCTTGATACTCCTTCGGGTAGTGAAGGGCGGGGTATAAATCCAATCTCTTAACTTCTTCTAGGGGAACTGATCTCTGTTTCTTGGAGATCAGTTGTAACCCCAGGAAATCCCTAGCCACCACCTGGAGGTTGGCAACCTCATGAGCTGTGTGCCACGTTTTTAAAGGAAATCTGTGGGTTTTTTTTAAAAAAAATCCTCAGAGGAGGGAGTGATGAGCAGAGTAAAACAACCCCGCTGTGCTGTCAGAAGCCACTGCAAGCCGGGAGAAGGGGGCTGCCAAAAATCCTAGACACCCCATAAGTCCTGAATGCCCCTAACCAATGTTCCCTCTAAGTTGTGGAGTCTTGTGAGCAAAAATTCTACTTTGTGAGCTACTGACATTAAAGTCGTGAGCAAGCGATTTGATTACTGCATACATTAGTTTGCTCCAGAGCCATCCTTCCTGAGCTAAGTCACAAATGTGTGAGCTGGAGGCTAAAAAACTGTGAGCTAGCTCACACTAACTCAGCTTAGAGGGAACACTGCCCCTAACACAAGAATCACGGGCCTATCCCGTGCCATAATCTTCCAGGGAGGGAGACGACGTGCTGGTCCTACTGGAAGCAGGAGGCGGAGCCATGGAGGACAGCCTCCGCCCTTCCAGCCTCCTCATCCAGCAGCCAGAGCCACGGCCCGCTGCCTCCGCCGCGATGGATGCCGCCACTGCGGGCAACAAGGAGCGGGAGGCTGTGCAACTCCTGGCCGAGGCCGAGAAGAGGGTGAAGTCCTCCCATTCCTTCCTCAGAGGGCTCTTCGGGTGAGCGAGCGGGGAAGCGGGGTCGGTCGCCGGGATACAGAGGCGCACGCGCTCCCGCCGGAGAGCCGCCGCCAGTCCCACTAGACAAGCCTGACCTCGGTAGAGCCAGATGGGCTGACTGGGGGGAAAGGCGCGCGTGTGTGTATGCGTGCGTTTGCGTGCCTGCCCTCGCTACCTGCAGTCGCAGGCCCAAGCCGGCTGGGCAAGTGCAGCGCCGGCGGGAGAGGCGTCGGAGAAATGGGGTCTGCGCGGGCTGAAGGGGAAGATGCTGCGAACAGGCGTCTCTCCAGAGGTTGCTGCTTTTCATGCGGCCCATGGAGACCGGTTTGTTGTGGCCTCGAGGGTCTGTGGACCAGGGGCCACGCCAGCCCACTTCTAGACACGCATATCTCCAGCCTTGTTAGACGCAAGAAAAATAAACAGGACTTTCAAGACTGACAGCATTTTATTTCACGTTATGCTGGAATGAAATTATTCTTTAGAGAGCCGGTAGGCTCTTTTTTCTTTATGTACATATTTTTAATTTAAAGAAAAGCAAGGTTGGGGGAGAAAAGGGGTTGGACTGTTCTTGGAGGAAAGGGGATTTTGCTTGACTGACACATTAAGCACATGGTTTATGTAATGGAGGGACATCACATTCCAGTCCATGTTCTAGGATCTTCCTGTGCTCTGACTTGAAAGGTGGGGGCAGAAGGGCACAGAGTGAGAAATATTTGCAGAGGGAGGCATCCCTGTGTCAGATGCATGAAGTGGGTTTGGGCAGTTAGGTCTCCACTGAAAGAGACTCCTCAGTTGCACACCCATAGCCACAGTGGGGCATTTAGGGGCGATGCCCCCTCGTGGCCCACGCCCTGCAACTCCCGCTGTGGGAGTTGTGCCAGCAGGTAAGGAAAGACCCTTCTCTTCTTCACTAATTTGAGAGCCAGTTTGGTGTAGTAGTTAAGAGCGCGAACTCTAATGTGGGAGAACTGGGTTTGATTCCCCATTCCTCCACATGCAGTTGCTGGTGTGACCTTGGGTCAATCATAAGTTCTTTCAGAGCTCTCCTCTCAAGGGCAGTTCTCAAAAGAGCTCTCTCAGCTCCACCTACCTCGCAAGATGTCTGTTGTGGGGAGGGGAAGGGAAAGGAATTGTAAGTCGCTCTGAGACTCCTTCAGGTAGTGAAGGGTGGGGTATAAGTCCAATCTCCTCCTCCTCCTCTTCTTCTTTTTCTCCTGCCTGCCAACAGGATCTCACTCTCTCTCTATCCCC